GGACCCTTGCTTGAATCTACCAGTTGATATATTGCTTTTTTTTTCTTAAAGTATATCAAACACTGATCAGTGTACTGGACACTCTGCTTGGGTCACCTCCTGTAAGGTACATGGCACTGCCATGTCCTTCAGAGTAAGAAGCTGACATCCTGAGAGGTTAACCCACTCATCTCCCGACATCCAGCTAGTCAATAAAGTCAACACTGCATCCGTGGGGTCTGTTCTAGCACTCAGGTCTCAGGTCTCTGCATGCCAAGGACAGCAGGGCACAACCCACGCATGGACAGACCCTGACCTCCTATGGAACCAGGGCACTCCCTCGTCTCTTGTCTGATCTCCGCTTGTTCAACCCAACCCACCTTCAATCTTCCTCCTCCAGGCTACCACCTCCAAGAAGCCAGCACAGCTAGAAAACACATTGATGTGTTTGGCCATAGGTCTAGCCCTCTGGGGTTGGTTCTGTTTTTTGGAGGTTCCAGAAACTTCAGGAGGTAGAGCCTAGGTGGAGGCAGGAAATCACTGGGGATGAGACTGTGAAAGTTATTCCTAAACGGCACACTGGTGGTTCACACCTGTAATCCTAGCTATTCAGGAGGCTGAGATCTGAGGATCGAGGTTCAAAGGCAGCCTAGGCAGCAAAGTCCATGAGACTCCTCTCTTCAATAAACTACTCAGAAAAAGCTGGAAGTGATGCTGTGGCTCAAGTGGTAGAGCACTAGCCTTGAGCACAAAGAGGCTCAGGGATCACACCCAGGCCTTGAGTTTAAGCCCCAGGACTGGCAAAAAGGAAAAAAAAAATGTTTTTCCTAGACCAGGCCCCCTCCCTCACTCTCTGCTTCCTGCCCTCCATTGGGCAGAGACCTTCCTCTGACACACGTTCTTGTGTCTGCACTGTTCTACTTCACCACAGCCATAGAAACACAAGGCCCAGCCACCGTGGACTGAATCCACTGAATCTGTGAACCACAACAAATCCTTCTTCCCCTCCATTGTTTTTCTCAGGTATTAGTGACCTGGTACCAGGAGTGGAGTCATTACCACTCAGAAGTTCTTAAGCCTTTGGAACTGGTTTGTGGGAGGACTTTGGACAAACTTGGCAATGCAGACTTGAGAAAGCCTATGGTGCTGTGGGCAGAGCTTCCTGAGTGACAGAATCCTGCTCAAAACAGGAACAATGAAGGCTTCTGAGATTTCAGATGGGAGCCAGGATGCTCCTTGGCATTGGCTTAGGCTATTCATTTAGGCTATGATGCGACAAAGAACTTGACACAGGCCCTGAGACTTTGAAGGAGGTTGAGTTGGAAGACAGGAGACTGAAGGAAGTTTCAAGGCAGCTACCATCGGACTGTGGCATGGATATTGATGGCTGCTTTTACCTTGGTTTAAAGTGAGCCCTGGAAACATAAAGCCAGAGTAGTGGGATTTGAAAAATGGCACATGGCGGGGCTGGGAAGGTGGCTCAGTGGTAGAGTGCTTGCCTTGCATGCATGGGGCCCTGGGTTTGATTCCTCAGCACCACACAAGCAAAAAGAAAAAAGCCGGAAGTGGCACTGTGGCTCAAGTGGTAGAGCGCTAGCCTTGAGCTGAAGAGCTGAGGGACAGCGCCCAGGCCCAGAGTTCAGGCCTCAAGACCGGACCAAAAAAAAGAAAAAAGAAAGAAAAGAAAAATGGTACAGTTTGTCAGAAAAGTCAGGTAAAGGTGGGAGTTACAGAAGGCTTCAAGAAATGTGCACGATTATGAGGAAGACAAAGCCAAGTGTTGGCGGCTCATACCTATAAGTGGCTCGGGGCTGAGATCTGCGGATGGGAGTTCAAAATCAGTTGGGGTAGCTGTTAGATTACTGTCTCCAATTAAGCAGAAGAAATCCAAAAGTGGAGCTGTGACTCAATTGGGACAGTGCTATCTTTGTATAAAAAAAAAAAAGCTATGGGATGGTGCTCAGGCCCTGAGTTCAAGCCCCTGTGCTATTGTGCGTGTGTGTGTGCATGCATACACATACACAGAGTGAGTTTCTGATCAGCTTGAATGTATAAGGAGACGCTATTTCAATGAGCAGCAACAATAAGTCAAGCACTTGGCTTCAAGACTATAGGAAATAATACATCCAAATCTTGATAACTAGCCACTCCTTTCCTATCCATCACAGGCTCAAAGGCCTGAAGGAGGCAATTCATTTGAAAGGCTTCCTCATGAGAAGAGAGCTAATCTAGGGTCCTCTGGTCACACAAGGACACCCCAGGATTCTTCCAGCAAGTCACTTAGAGCCCAAGGACATTGGAGATGTGAGAAAGCCCAGGTGAGAGACCACGTGGGCTGTAGGGGAAAAGTGGTGTAAGGGTGGAGCGCCCAGAGCTGACATCATACTCCACACCTGTGCCAGGTGCTGGAAATGGAGAGACAGCATAAAATGCCGAAGCAGCAGCAGCAGCAGCAGGTGTGTGTGTGTGTGTGTGTGTGTGTGTGTGTGTGTGTGTGTGTGTGTATATGTGTGTGTGTGTGTGTGCGTGTGCACGCGCGTGCGTGCGTGCGTGCACGCGCACACACTCAGGAGCTGGGCCCTGCCCCTGAGTTTCTGAGTTTCTTTCTTTTCTTTTTTTTTAATCGGTCATGGGGCTTGAACTCTGGGCCTGGGCGTTGTTCCTGCGCTTTTCAGCTCAAGGCGACCGCTCTACCGCTTGAGCCACAGCGCCACTTCAGGTTTTCTAGTGTTTTATTGTAGATAAGAGTCTCACAGACTTTCCTGCCCAGGCTGGCTTTTAACCTTGTTCCTCAGATCTCAGCCTCCTGTGTAGCTAGGATTACAGGCGTGAGCCACCCGCACCCTGCATGAGTTTCTGAGTTCCTTTTGCTCAAGGCTAGCACTCTACCGGTGCAGCCACAGCTCCAATTCTGCTTTTTTTTTTTTTTTTTTGTATATTGGAGATAAGGGTCTCAGGGACTTTCCTGGGCGGGCTGGCTTCAAACTGTTATCCTCTGTTCTCAGCCTCCTGAGTAGCTAGGATTACAGGCATGAGCCACTGGTGCTCAACCTTCCTTGCTGTGTTCCAGTCATTGCTCCCTTTGGAGCAGATGCATGGACTCTGCATACCATTCTCCTTCAGAAATAAGCAACTGAGTTCTGGCTTCACAGGGAGGTTGACAGGTAAGGGTTTGCTTTGACTTTCAGAAGACTGAATTTAGATTTGGAAAAAAGAAAACATTGGTGTGGTTAAGACCTCAGGAACTCTTGAAAATGAACAATTTGGACTGAGAAATTGGCTTAGTGGTAGAATGCTTGCCTAGCAGGCGTGAAGCCCTAGGTTTGATTCCTCAGTACCACATAAACAGAAAAAGCTGAAAGTGACACTGTGGCTGAGTGGTAGAGCGCTAACCTTGAGTGAAAGAAGCCCAGGGACAGTGTCCAGGCCCTGTGCTCAAGCCCCAAGACTGGAAAAAAAAAAAAAAAAAAAAGAAACAGCAGGAGGAGGAAGAGGAGGAAGAAAAGGAGGAGGAGGAGGAGGAGGAGGAGGAGGAGAGGAGGCAGGGGAAGGAAGGAAGAAGGAAGAATATGAACTTCAGTCTTTTTTCCTTTTTTACTGTGAGATGCCAGGGGTCTGTTGAGACAGAGGAACATTGGGGTGTGAGTAGAAATGTCTTCCCCAAGTTCGTGTGTTCAATGCATGGTCCAGGCTGGTGGTGTTATTTTGGGACGCTCTTGAAACTGGGGAGGTGAGGCCCAGATGGAGGTTTGAAGGTTAACGGGGTGCTCGGTCTGCTCAGCTTACTGTGTTGCCCTGTCTGCCACTTTTCTCTCTGCCATGATGTTCAGCCCCACCACAGCCCTGAAATGCTGGGCATTGTGACCATGAACTGAGCCTCTGAACCCAGGAGCAAAACGAACTGAGCCTCTGAACCCAGGAGCAAAACGAAGAATTCCTCCCGGAAGTTGCTCAGTCACGTATTATTTTGCTCCCAGCGATGCAAAACGAACACAACCTCACGGACACCACTTCACGGCCTGCTCTAAGCTCTCACCCCAGTGGAGCGGAGAGCGCACACCTGGGGCCCCTTCAGGGTGGGTGCGGAGTTATTAAGGAAGGGGGGTACGGCTGGTCTGAGGAAGAAGGTCCCATGGACACGAGGACATTGGCAGAGACTGAGCGTGTGGGTGGGCGGGGCTTCTGAATAGGAACATAAACTTGGGAGGGCACAGGGCCGGACGTGGGCATGGACAGTGCAGGCTGCTGGGTCGTGTGTGGCATAGCGGTGCAGGGCATTCACTGGGGTGCATGTGTGAATGTGGGTGCAGACCACGGGGTGGGGCTGAGCTCTGGGAGTGAGAGGCGGTGGGGGTGGGGGCCCTGCACTGGGCTCTCTGCTGGGATGGCCAACCCAGGCCCTCTGTGCCGCCAGGGGTGGTGCAGAGCATCAAGGACCACATCACGAAGCCCACGGCCATGGCCCGGGGCCGCGTGGCCCATCTCATCGAGTGGAAGGGCTGGAGTGCCCAGCGGTCAGACTGGGCACTGTCCCCCGCTGAGGACGAGCGCTACTGCTGCCTCCCGGACGAGCTGCGTGAGGCTCGCTTTGCCGCAGGTCAGTGGGGGCAGGCGGGCACAGGCCGGGCTCCACAGGGGTGAAGCTGGGGGCAGGCGGGCACAGGCCGGGCTCCGCAGGTCAGTGGGGGCAGGCGGGCACAGGCCGGGCTCCGCAGGGGTGAAGCTGGGGGCAGGTGGGCACAGGCCGGGCTCCGCAGGGGTGAAGCTGGGGGCAGGCGGGCACAGGCCGGGCTCCGCAGGTCAGTGGGGGCAGGCGGGCACAGGCCGGGCTCCGCAGGGGTGAAGCTGGGGGCAGGCGGGCACAGGCCGGGCTCCGCAGGGGTGAAGCTGGGGGCAGGCGGGCACAGGCCGGGCTCCTCAGGGGTGAAGCTGGGGCATCAGGCCCCACATCGTGCTGTCTGATGCCATGGGTGGGATAGACGGATCACCTGGGTAAGCACGGGCAGCTCACAAAATCCTGCTGAGGCGCAGAGGCCCCTGCTGCACCCTGAACAGCCTGCAGAGAGGCTAGGGACTAGCAGCAGCTCTGGGCATCAGCTTTATTTTTCTCAGGAGCGTCTGCCTGGGAACATGGATGTCCACATTTGGTAATGGCATGTACCAGTCTCTTCATTCACGAATGGGAGACCAGGCACTGGGTGCCAACTGTCCTCCATTTCTTCTCCATCTCCTACTCCTTGCTGCGTCCAGGGTGGGGTTTGTCCTTCCAGGCAATGGCTGCTGTCCCCAAGCTGGGACACAGGGGTGTGGGTCCTTCTTTGGGGCTAGAGAAGAGCTGCCAGCTCCCCTGTGCAGTGGGGAGGGGCTGGGGCAGGTAATGATGGGTGGTGGCATCTAGGGAGAGGCAGGGGCCCTGTCCAGCCCCAGGCAGCTGGGCACCTGCTCTCACTGACCAGGCCGGCTCACTTGGGGGCTGGTGGGTTGGTCAGGGTGGAAATCGCTTTCTTTAACTGCAACAGAGAACAAAAGGGGTTGGGAGGAAGGATTCCGACTTTGGAGGCCCCCCTAGGGTGGATGTTGGGGTGGATGGTAGAGCCAGTGCCTCCCCATTGCATCATGGGGTCACTGAGCCCGGAGAGCAGAGGCTCCTAGGGGTCCCCAGACCCAGTGGTCACTCGGGTCCCAGCTGTGAGGTTCATCAGAGTCCTCAGAGGCTCTCAAGCTTAGGTTGGGAGAAGTCCCCCCACCTCCTCTGCCTCGCCCTCCCTGAGAATCCCATACCTCCACCCAGGTCACGGCGCCCACAGCTCTGCCCCGCGATGTCACGTAGAGCAACTGCAGGTTCAACAGCTCAAACAGGTGGTGCGTCTGGAGGGTTCAGAGAACATTCTGGGCTCAGGGTCCCCCTGAGGCCCACTAACCCACCTCTCAGCCTGGACTCCCCCAATTCTCGGGAACTTGGGAACTCTGCAATGTGCAGAGTGACCACTAGGGGTGGCCAGAGTCCATGCACCAGCTGGGTGAGGCCCAGGGGCAGAAGATGCCATTATCCACCATTACCCCCCACCATCATGGTGCCATCCCCTGGCAGTGAGGAGAGGCCCAGGCCCAAGTCCCCAGGCTGCTTGTGTCCCTGGCCCACATCGAGTGCCAGCTCTGCCCTGGGTGGTTGAGTCATTTGTTCAAGATCACACAGGGAGAATGTGGCAAACTTAAAATTGACCTCTGCCTACATCTTCATGGGAAGCTTGATTTTTATTTATTATTATTATTTCTTGGTCTGTGGTGGGGCTTGAACCACAGTTCCATCTCAGTTTTTAGGTAGCTAATTGAAGATAAGAGTCTTACAGACTATCCTGCCTGGGCTGGCTTTAAACCATGATCCTCAGATCTCAGCCTCCTGAGCAGCTAGGATTATAGGCATGAGCCACCAGTGCCCAACTTCAAGAGATGATTTTAACCAGTGTCTCTGCACCTGAGTGCTGTTCCCTATTCAGGGAAGGAGTGCCCAGGCAGGAGCTGCCAGGCCCATGCAGATGAGGAAACCCTAGGGGGGAGCAGACATCACTTGGCACAGGGGAGAAGCTGGAGCCTGACCCACCTACCGGCTTCCTCCCCCTCCTCTGGGGCCCTGTCTGCCTGCCTTCTCCCATCCTCCCCTTACCTGGTGCAGGGAGGTCTCTGGGGACAGCTGTAGGGTCACTGGCTCCATGGGACAGCCCCCAGCCAAGAGGTCCTGGAGACAGCACTGGGGATGGGGGAGGGACAGTGGGATTCCAGACCCTGTTCCTAGAATGTCATCTTATCTTCCCCTCCCAGCCCTGCCCACCACCCTACCCTGGCCCAGCCCCTCCCGGGCACTCACTCACTCACCTACCTGTTGGCCTGCCACCCAGCAAGCTGGCTCAGCATGGAGGGCCTGCACCAGCTGGGCCCTTCTCACAGTGCCCACCAGGATCTGAGATTCTAGAGGTACAGAGGAGGAACTCACATTAACTGAGCCCCTACTGTGTGCCAAGCATGATGCTAGGGGTGTTCTTGTGCCTCAGAGGAACCTTAAGCAGCCAGTGGTGTGGAGATCATCCCCAATCTATTGACTAAGCAACTGAGGCTCAGTGGGAGTGGGCGGGGCTAATTGTCATGGCTACGCCTACTAAGCTGCCCAAGTGGATGTGTAGCCATTCAGAGTGGCTGGTTATGGCTGACAGCAGGCCAAGAGGAAGCCCCATGTCCTAGGTCTTCAGGCAGGAAGAAGCTGGGACATTTGTATGATGCAGGCTGGTGTCAAGACTTGGCTTTCTCTATTTTCCCACAGAACATTTAACTTCCAGTGAAGGAGTGCGCCCAGGAGGGCACCATATTCTAGGTCCTCCTAAGTGCCCAGTGCTCAGTAACCCTCACTCTAATGATGGTGGATCACAGGAGTTTGAGTAGCCAGGTTGATACTGATCCTTATGTGCAGTAACAAGAAAAAGCTTGGGAGCTGGGCTGGAGTGTGGCTCCAGGAAGAGTACTTGCCGAGCAGGCCCTTGGCTCTAGGTTCCATCCTCAGCACCACAAAGAAACCAATCAACTTGACAACCGGGCATTGAGATGCTTCCACCCTTACTGATAAACCAAGTTATTACTTGGATGAATAGTGAGAGCCTGTCCCCTGGCCAATCTGATTGGGAATGCTTTGCTTACCATGGCCCTTTGTTGGTAAAGCCAGTTCTCTGTTCTAGAATGAAGCCTTTTGGCAGGGCTCCACATGTGCAATCTGTAGACAGGAACCTGGGGCTTATGGAGCCTGAGTGAAGATTCCACTACTTGTAAACTCATGTGACAGGTCCTATATGGTCACTAGGCTACGTGTGGGTCATGGAGAATGGCCTCATATTTGTCTTGTATGTTTCTCACTGCCAAAGGTGCCTGCCCAAAGCCTGGGGACCCAAATCCAGTCATGCTGTACCTTCCCAGAGTTCCCTTTGCTTCCAGTACCCAGAGGACTGTGGGCTGTGGGCTGTGGGCTGTGGTCTGCCTACAGCCCATGTCTCCCTGACTCATCTTCTCTACTCTGATACTGTCCGTGCAAAGCAGGACAGGATGCCTGGTTAGACCTTTCCCCAAGATGTAACTGATTTGACCCATGTGTGTGTGCTTGCATGTGTGTGTGTGTGTGTGTGTGTGTGTGTGTGTGTGTGTGTGCGCACGCACACGTATGCGTGCATGTGTGTGTGCGCGCGCAAGTGTGTGTGTCCACCACTCGAGCCAAAACTCTACCTCACCTTTTTGGTGGATAATAAGAGAAAAGAGTCTCAAGGATTTTCCTGCCTGAGCTGACTTCAGTGATCCTCAGATCTCAGCCTACTGAGTAGCTAGGATTATAGGCATGAGCCACTGACGCCCTGCTTGACATGACTTAAAAAAATTTAATTCTTGCTAGCCCTTGGGCTTGAACTCAGGGCCTGGGCACTGTCCCTGATCTTCTTTTGCACAAAGCTAACACTCTACCACTGGGGCCACTTCTGGCCTTTTCTGTTTTTGTGGTACTGAGGAAAGGAACCCAGGGCTTCATGCATGCTAGGCAAGCACTCTACCACTAAGCCACCTTCCCAGCCCCTGGATACGACTTTTAACAAGAGCCACAACCCATTGGTGGGGAGGGCACTCAGATAAGGAATGCTCCAGGGACACTGAGGAAAGTGACCACCGGAAGGCCTAAGGAGGCTGACCACCCTTCCCTCACTCGCAGGAATGCCAGCCTCCTTTCCTAGAGCTCCAAGTGCCATTCACCGGGGGTCTTACAAGCCCCCTCTCCTCTCTCACTTGCATGCATCCGCCAATCTCCAGGGCATGGTGAATCTGTCTTTTCATGCATAAAGAACACAAAGCTCAGAGAGGAGAAGGGACTCAGGGTCACACAGCTGTTAAGCTGCACAGCCCAGACCCAGGTATAGAAACAACACTCTGCCCTGACACTCAGGCTCAGAGCAAGGCCAAGGGCATCCCGCCCCTCCCAGGCAGCCACCCCTTCCTGCCAGGCACCTGTGCTCTCCACCAAGGGATACTGGGCCTCATCTGTGGAGGTCACCACCTTGACCACCTGCTCCAGCGGGGTGTCCTTGGCCAGGGTGGTGATGGCACAGTTCATGAAGTGTCCCACCGTCGTGGGGTACGAGCTGGGGCAGAGGGAGGCTCCATCAGGTCCTGGCTAGCGGTGTCAGCCCCCAGGTGAGGCAGGGCACATGGGGAGCCCTGCTGGCCCAGGACCTGAGGATCTCTCAAGCCAGGGTGGAGGCTGGGAGACTCCTGAGTGAGTGCCCACCTCATCCCACCCCCCAGTGAGGAATCTGGAGACCAGGTCTCTAGTAGCTCCGTCCTGATTCCTGGGCCCTAGACTGCAGTGGGCCCAGACCATCTCTGCTTGTAAGGATGGCAGAGCAGGAGCAGAGTGGGTAGGGAGCCCCTGGCTCTGGTGTTCCATGTGACCTTGATCTATGAGACCTTGTGCAAGACCCAGGCCTGCTTGAATCCCAGCATCCTCACAGCCATTGGGCCACTGGGAAGACTAGAGACCAGGGGGCAGCCATGATTCATCCCTCCCACGCCCAGGTTCAAGGTCAGCCTCAGTGGTGATTTTTGCCCCTCCCCACTCAGCCCACCCAGAGCACCGTCTCCCTGTCAGCGAGCCTCAGCAGCCTACTCACCCGATCTTGCGCCCCCGAATCCATGGCAGGTAAGGCAGTTTCTTGACAATGATGGTACCATCATAAAAGGAGGCCTGGCAGCTCTGAGCAATGGCATTGGCCACCAGCACCGCCATCAGCACAGGCAGGGCGTGTAAGATCTGGCCGGTCAGCTCAAAGGCCAGCAGCGCCGTGGAGATGGAGTGGGTCACCGCTCCAGAGAAGGCCGCAGCCCCTGGGGGGGGGGGGGGAGCAGAGCCAGGGCAAAGTCGTTCAATCCAGGGGTCAGACTCTCCCAGGGACAAGGTGGGCATGGCTTTTCCCAAGGCTGGGCTTGCAAATGCCCAGAGGACCCATGTTGGCCACTGCTGGACCTGCCTTGTACCTGGACTTGGGGAGAGGAGAGGGATAAAGGAGAGCATGTGGGATGGAGAAGACAGAGACCAGAGGAGTGAGGAGGCTGGGGTCAGGGAAGCCGCACGAAGGGAGGGGGATCTGGACACTCAGTGACACCCCCCCGTGCCCTCGCTAGCACCCTCTCTCCACTACAGCCCATCCCCAGGAGGTCTGCCCACCCGACCTAGCCCAGGGCACTTACCTGCCAGAGCGTAGCCCCCAGGCATGATGGGATTAATGACACCTCCAGCCACGATGCCCTCAGGGAAGGCCAGAGACAGAGCCTCCCCCAAGAGGCGCCCAATAGCAGCTCCTGCCACAGATGAATGACTGCCATCAGGGGCAGCCATGGTGACGGACCTGGCCCTCAGCCCTCTGTCCCTGGGGCCATGCTCAGCACCACCCTGGGAGGGCCGAGAAGGGCTGAGTGCCACTGCTCTCCTGCAATGCCCCCCCCTCCCCCGACTCTCAGCGCATCAGTCCTCAGACTCACCATACACAAACACGGGCAGAAAATACCCAGCAGGTACAGGGATGGTGGTGGCCAGAATGAGCATCCAGAACTGTGGGGAGACAGTGCTCACTGGAGGAAGTTAGATGCCACAAGGGGGAGGGGTGGGGAGGGAGAGTGGGAAAAGAGCTGGGAGGGCCAAGAGAAAAGGGTGTCCATGCCTTGGTTCATCGCCATCTCTGGCATGGTAACAACCCAGAAAAGGAACGTCACCCTAAGAAAGAGCTGGCCTTGGCTCTGCCCACACCTGGGGACCCACCTTCATAACCAGGAAGAAAGCTAGCGTCCCAAAGATGGTGAGCCGTGGGTGGTACCATTCCAACCACAGGTTCTGGGGGTCAGGCTCGGCAGTCCAAGGTAGGGATGAGTTCTGGGTCATCCATGCCCACGAGTTGTTGTCAAATAGCGAATCCAAGAGCTGCTCCATGGACAGCTGGGCAGGGCCGGTGGGCTTTCAGTATGTCCTCACCATGTCTCCCAACCCAACCTCAGTGCTCCTCTGCCTCTCCCCACCCTCCCGCCCGCGGGGGACTGGGCAGGCTCTGGCCTCCCTGTGCTTAGTGCTCTTCTCTAACAAAGCATGCGTAAGCATCTCTGTTGCGTGGTATGGGGGTTAGCGAGGCAGTGCCACAAAGGGGCAACACACGGTGACCTTCTACCCCCTCAGCCCTTACCCGGGAAGCCATGAAGTGACCCACGCCAGGTGGGTAGGTGATGGAAGCCAGAATCAGGGCAGCCAGGGCAGTGTACACAGGCTTGCTGTGGACAAAGGGGGTCCAGTGCCAGCCCCTCTCCTTCCCCCAAAACATGGAGAGAAATGGGCTACTCAGGAAGGGGCAGGCAGGGACTGAGGATGGGAGAGGAGGAAGGAGGGACTAGGGAAGACACCCCCTTCCCGCAGGGATAAGGCAGGTGAGTGGGCCCAGGAGATTGGAGGTGATAGGAAGCTGGACTGATTAAAGTTGGGACAGAGACCAAGGACAGATCCATGCCAGCCCATGGAGGGGCTCTGCCTCTCTGGTCCAGGCAGAAAAGGCTGGAGAAAACCAAGGGCCTAGCTGGTGTTGGTGGCTCACACCTGTAATCCTAGCTGCTCAGGAGGCTGAGATCTGAGGATTGTGGTTCAAAGCCAGCCCCCACAGGAATGTTCATGAGAGTCTATCTCCAGTTAACCACCAGAAAACCAGAAGTGGTGCTGTGAATCAAAGTGCTAGATTATACTACTAGCCTTAAGCAAAAGAGCTCAGGGAGAGTGACCAGGCCTCTGAGTTCAATGCCCATGACAAGAAGGAAGGAAAGAAGGAAGGAAGGAAGGAAAGAAGGAAGGAAGGAAGGGAGGGAGGGAGAGAGGGAGGGAGGGAGGGAGGAATGGAGGGTGGGAGGGAGGAAGGGAGGGAGGGGAGAGGAGTGGAGAGGAGAGGGAAGAGAGGAGAGGAAAAGAAAAGGGAGGGAAGGAGGGAAGGAATGAGAGAGAGAGAAAAAACCAAGGGCCTGTGGCATAGGAGTCAGGAGGAAAGGAAGCAGGGCTCAGTGAGGAGAGGGAACCCCAAGAAGAGAGAGGTTAAGAAGTTGGTGCACAATTGAGGGCTGGGAAGGTGGCTCAGTGGTAGAGCGCTAGCCTTGAGCTGAAGAGCTGAGGGACAGCACCCAGGCCCAGAGTTCAGGCCCCACGACCGGACCCCCCCCCCAAAAAAAAGAAATTGGTGCACAATTGAAAGGCAAGGGCTAAGGGAGAGGGAATGGGGACTGTATAAGTGGGAGGGGTTGGGGGTCCATGGGAGGACAGGAGTTCAGTGAAGGACTAGGGGTAATGGGCTTCCTGAGGGGCCCACCATGGCCCTGACCCACCTGGTGGCCAGCAGCTTGGAGGTGAAGCGGTTGGTAGTGACAAAGCCCAGGAAGGTTCGCTGGCAGAAGAGGTAAACACAGCTCAGGACACCGCAGATGGCCCTGGGGACATGGACAGCTGAGTCCCTAGCCCCCCACCCCACCCCCAGCCCAGTCAGACTGGGAAGAGACCACAGGCAGGCTCTCAGGGCCTGAGACCCTGCTCACCCCAGCACCACAAAGAAGAAAATCTCAGGCAGGTCAAAGGGCACATCCACAGGGAAGCTGGTCTTGTAGATGGAGGTGATGGTCTCTGGGGGAGGAGGGCAGTGGGGTCAGAGGTCAAGCCTTCTCAACCACACTGGGTCCCAAAGGAACAGGCAGGGCTGGAGGTGCAGTGTTGACCCCAAACCCCACAACCCAGCCTGCCATCATGCCATCCTGCCTTCCTGCCAGCTTTGCCCTCTACCCTCTTCCTCCCTCTCCCTGCCTGGCACAGCTCAGCCCCTTCTGTCCTCTGGGAGATGCAGGGGGGAAGGGGTGAAAGAGAGAGGGGACAGGGGGAGGAGGAAGAGGAGAAAGGGGAATAGGGAGAGAAGGAGGAGGAGGAGGAAGAAGAGAAGGAGGAGGAAAGGGAGGAAGAGAAGGAAAAGAAGGCGGAGGAGGAGAGGAAGAAGAAGAGGAGGAAGAAGAGGAGGAAGGGGAATAGGGAGAGAAGGAGGAAGAGGAGGAAGAAGAGGAGGAGGAGGAAAGAGAGGAGAAGGAGGAAAAGAAGGAGGAAGAGGAAGAAGAGGAGGAGTAGGAGGAGGAAGAGGAGGAGGAGCAGGAGGAGGAGGAGGAGAAGGCAGGGGAGAGGGAGGAGTGGGCAGGCCCAGGCAGCTGAGCTCTCACCCTGCTCGCTGTTGAAGACTGCCAGGAGGCGGAAGGTGAAGGCCCCACAGGTGGCAGCGAAGAAGCCCCTCCAATAATTCCAGACGGTGAAGTGGGAGGACATGACCTCGATGCTGAACAGGACGCCTGGGGGGACACGCAGCTCAGGAGGTGAACTGGCTGCCCAGGGCCGCACCAACAGCTGGTTTCCAAACCCATGTATGGGGTGGGGGGCGGGGATGAGCGACTGGACATCAGCTCACCCTGCAGAACAGCAGTGGGAACTGGAAGACACCCCCTCCCACACATACCTATAAAGGAGTCACCTGATTGGTTCTGACAGCACCATGGGAAGAGGCAGGGGAGGGACATAGGCAGTACTAAGGCTCAGGCCTGGAGGAAGGGTCTCACCGCTGAAGGGGGCTGCAAAGACCGTGGCAAAGCCCACTGCCGCTCCTGCCACCAGCATTTCATGTTGCTTGCTCTTGTTCTGGGGAATCAGGACCTGGGCTCAGAGCCACTCTCCCTCCCACCACCACCATCCCTCCATGGAGGGCCTCCCTGAGCCCCTCACCTCAGACTCCCCAATGGTCCTGGTGCGTACCCTGCCCAGGTAGGCCGCAATCATCACACCCAGGTGCACGAAGGAGCCCTGTAGGATTGAGGTGGGTGCAGGGCATGTGGTCTGTGTCCTGGAGAGGGGGGTTCTTGCTCCTTTTCCTCCTACTATAATCCCTCCTCCTTCCTTCTACCCTCATCATCCTCCCATTCTTCTCTTTGAGCTTCCATGAAGGAAGCTGAAGGCCTAATGCACAGCAAGTATGCCTTTTCCACCCACGTTCCCTTTCTAGCCATCTCCAGGGGCACGTGACTCTGCTCACACTGGGCACCTGGCTGCACTAGCTCCCCAGGTGGGACTGGCTGTGGTGGGGACAGGGAAGGCTGAGGAGGATGGGGGTGGGGTGAGGGGCCTCTCTCCTGCTCTTACCATTTTGCCTAGGAAGATGGTGCTGCCCGTGGCCAGTGTGCAGGAGAGACCAGCCACCTTGGCTCCAAAGTTCTTGATATCCAGGTAGTTCTCCAAGATCACACCTGACAAAATGGCCTTCAGCTCCGGGATTCCAGATCCTTGGTGGCATGGGCAGGACAAGAGGGTCAAGGTGTAGATTAAATCTCCTTGCTCTCCGTCTCCCCACATCCACACTCTCAATGGAACTATCCTATCTTCTCTGAGTCTCATACCCTACAAGGAGGGGATTCTCACTCTCTGTCTCTCCCTCTCTCTCCTTCATTTTCATTTTCTTCTCCGTGTGTGTGTGTGTGTGTGTGTGTGTGTATGTGTGTGTGTGTGTGTGTGTGTGTGTGTGTGTGTGTGTGTGTGTGTGTGTATACCAGTACTCACATTTAAACTTTAGATTTTTATTTTTTGCCAGTCCTGGGACTTGAACTTGACCTAAACACTGTCCCTGAGCTTCTTTTGCTCAAGGCTAGCACTCTACCACTTGAGACACAGAGCCACTTCTAGCTTTTTCTGCTTATGTAGTACTGAGGAATTGAACCCAGAGCTAGCTTTTTCTGCTTATGTAGTACTGAGGAATTGAACCCAGAGCTTCATGTATGCTAGGCAAAGACCCAGCCTGCCTTCCTGCCTTCCTGCCTGCCTGCCTGCCTGCCTGCCTGCCTGCCTTCCTGCCTTCCTGCCTTCCTGCCTCCCTGCCTCCCTGCCTCCCTGCCTCCCTGCCTCCCTGCCTCCCTGCCTGCCTGCCTGCCTGCCTGCCTGCCTGCCTGCCTGCCTGCCTGCCTGCCTGCCTGCCTGCCTTCCTGCCTGCCTGCCTGCCTGCCTTCCTGCCTTCCTGCCTTCCTGCCTTCCTGCCTCCCTGCCTTCCTGCCTGCCTTCCTGGCAGCTTCTGCCCTCTACCCTCCTCCTCCCTCTCCCTTCACCACTGATAGGTTTTTTTTGTTTGTTTATTTTTTGTCTTTTGTTTTTGTCTTTAGAGGTGAGGATCGAACTCAGGGTCTTATACTTGTAGGCAAATGCTCTTCCACTGAGCTAACTCTCCAGCCCCAACATTCCATGTTTTTGCTGGCTAATAGGAGATAAGAGTCTCTCAGACTTTGCTGCCCAAGCTGGTTTTGAACTGGAATCCTCAGATCACAGTCTCCTGGGTAGCTAAGATTGCAGGCATGAGCCATTGGCACCCGACAAAGGGAAGACTGCTGACCTCAGTTGGCAGGAGAGGAAGCTGAGGCGCATGGTGGGCATGTGAATTGTCGGTGCCCTTCTCCCCCTCCTGGCCTGTGCTGGTGGCTAGCTGATCTAGCCAGTGTGCAATGCCAGGCCACCACAAGCCCCCTTCCTGACACAAGTCACTGACTCTGGCTCTGCAGGGGACCGTGCCCAGGAGAGCAGACAGAGCCCATGGGAACCCAGGAGTCCACATCTGCCCTTCTCCCTTGGTTACCTGGGGGACGGACATCGCTCTCCAAGCAGGCATCCCTGGCTGGGAAACGGGGCTGGTGATTCCTGTGTCCCCCAGAAGCCACACAGGACCAGTGGACACTGCAGTGAAGACGTGCTGGCCAGAGACAAGATGGCAGACTCACCTCCAGAGAAGGCCGTGATGCTTTGGGAGAAGCCAGAGGAGAAGGACAGGAGGGCCACTGGGTACACAGTCCAGGAGAGATACTGCAGCAGGTGGCTGTCCCCGATCTCTCCATAGAGCCACTTGTGAGCTGGGGAAGGCCGGGCATCAGGAGCCACCACAGCCTCTGCGGCTCCCCTCCCCCGTGTACACCAGGACACAGGGGCCCCACGCCACCCAGTGTGCGTCAGGCCCTCAGAATGAAGCGAGGGTCCCAGGACCATGTCCCAACTTGACTACTTCTGGCCTGAGTGACTATGGGCAAGTGACTCAACCTCTCTGAGCCTCAGTTTCCTCACCTGCCCAGTGGGCTGCGATGGGGACTCCTCACAGGTCCTAAAATCTACAGGAAGTTCTGTCCCTCAATAGAGAACTGAATGTGACTGGGTGAGGAAAACCGCATAGGACAGTAGGTCCTCAGGATGGCAGCTGAGTGCACAGAGAAAGAGTCTCCAGCCCTTCCTGCCCATGCCTACTCTTCCAGGAAGGCCTCAGGGTGGAGCCCTCTGAAGGATGGGGGAAGCTCTGTGCCTGGGTTGAGGATCACTGAGCTGGGAACCAGGAGAGAAAGAGAAGAGGCAGGGTGGGGTGAAGAGGGGCACAGAGCTCACACGGGGAAGGGCTCCTGGGACACCAGGCTCACCCCTCATTGTGCAGCTGTGTGGCTGTGTCCCAGAGAGGGACACAAAGCAAGGGAGGAGAGAAGCCAGCCCCAGCCCCAGGTGTGGTCAAGCAGAGTCATCCCCCCCCCTCCTGCCCTGGCGACCATCGGGTGACCTGGTGACCATCCCAGAGAGCAGGAATCCCTGGTCCAGGGCAGGTGTGTGCCAGGCCGGCTTACTTCGCACCACTCGGCCGATGGCGAAGTTCATGGCATAGCTGATGAGGGCCATGAGCACCCCGAGGATGGCCAGGAAGTACCAGTCCTCATCCACGCGGAAGAGCTTCTCCTTCAGCCACTCCAGGCCGCCTGCCAGGGCATTGGGGGCACAGCCCAGGTGGAGGGGTGCCGCGACAGCCCCTTCCCTGGAGGCCTGCTCAGGCTCTGGGCCGGGACAGCTGGGCAGGGGCTTGAGTCTGACGTCACCCCCACACCCTCTGGTCACTGTTGAAGGATGGTTGGTGGCACCAGGGGCTGGGTGGGGTCAGCACCACAGCCCTGCTCAGCATCTCTGCAGAAGCTGTGGCTTCTTGCCCCTGAGTGGCCGCAGGGCCTGCCTCCCCCAGGGCCTGCAGTGCCATCTGTCCCCTGGGCCCCAGCAAGCCCTGGCCACTGTTTGTCAGCCCAGCCTGGAAGCTGGGGTTGGGAGCCTCAGTACCTGGCAGCGGTGGGGGCAGGGGGCCTACATGTTGGCTCTCTCTGGGGTCCCTGCCTGCTCTACCCCCAGGGAAAGAGACAGTCCGGTATCAAGGTGAACAATGAGCTTCAAGTTTCAAAGAAGGAGCCAGGGGCACGGCTCCCTGGCCACCTGCGGTGGCTCCTGCTGACCGCAGCCCCCCGTGGAACAGGTGGGGGCCAGTGGACATGGGGAGCAGGCCTTGGGCTGTGTCTCCCAAAAGGGAGAGGCCGACCTCTAGCCGGGCGGAGGGGAGGCAGATGCCCCTCCCTGCTGCACCCAGGAGCCTGGGGCAGAAGCGGCAGGTGGATGGGGTGGGGTGGGGTGGTGAGCCTGCCAGGCGCGGTGTCCCCGGGGTCTTCCATGGGGAGGGCAGGGGAGGGCCCCAGCTCTCACGTCGGATGCGTCCCCGGATGCGGGGACACGGGCCCCACAGCTCCTGCAGAGTCACGGGCTTCCCCGAGGAGCCCTCACGCAGCCCCACCAGCTCCTCCATGGGCTCTGTGAGGACGGGCAGCCGGACCGTGGGCAAGCCGCTCCAGTGCCAGCACCGCGTCCAGGCTCTGGAGCAGTCCACCTTGGGAAGAGAAGGAATGGCCCTGGCCATGAGTGTGTGTGCACATGTATGCATGTATGTGTGCATGCATGTGTGTGTGTGTGTGTGTGTGTGACGTTAAAGGAGGGGACAGAGCCTCTGTCACTAGGAGGGTGGCTGTGTCCTCCAAGTGGGCTGGAAGCTTCTAGGTGTCCTCTAGGGACCTCCGTGGCGGCCCTGGGCCCTCATCAAGCCCTCCCTTGCTGTGGCCCCTGCTGCCACCCTCTGGGACACTGAGCTGCTTCTCCTCAGAGCCTTCGCTATGCCCTGGTGGCACACTCTCTGTGGATCCCCGGACATGGCTCTGGTGTCCCCATGCCTATCCCTCAGGTCCAGAGGAGCGGAAATCCCCAGCCTCAGAAAGAGACCGTCAAGGTGAAAATGGGGTGCAGGCTCCTGTCCCCACCCTCCTCATGCCCTGTCTGCCCAGGCCCTGGCTTGTCCTGTCCGAGTCCGTGCTCCTACATCCCCTCACCTGTTGATCCGTTCCGCTGCAGCCCCAGCAGAGCCTGTGTTTGCAGTTCCTGAGCACCTGGACAGGTGTGCACTCCACCCTCCAGCGCCTCCCCCTCCTCCAGTAGGGTTAAGGAAACCATTAAGAATGCCCTTGACAAACCAGCCAGAACTCCCCTGTACCGCTGAGCAGGCAGGCTGTCCCCCTCCTCCTCCTCCCCCATACACACACACACACACACACACACACACACACACACATACACACACACACACACACACACACACACACACATACACACACACACACACACACACACACACACACACACACACACACACACACACACACCAGAGCTGCCCAGAGGGCAGCACCAACCACACTGCAGGTTCCTGGGGGCGCCTGGGAATCAGGCCTGGGAGGGAGAGGCGGGCCAAGGCTGAGGCTGAGGCTCAGGGCTCTGAGTTCTCAGCTGGCCAGCGAAGGAGTTGAGAAACCACAGAAGTGGGGAGCTGGTGGACAGAGAGGAGAAAGCGCAGGGGCACGAGGGAGTGAGGCTGTGGCTGCACCCTGCGAGTCAGGAACTCTACTCTGACTTGGCCAGAGTTTCTCTGAGTGCTCTTGGAGACCCACTTTGTCCTGTTCAAAAGAAATTGCAAGCCGGGTGCTGGTGGCTCACGCCTGTAATCCTAGCTACTCAGGAGGCTGAGATCTGAGGATCTCGGTTCAAAGCCAGCCCGGGCAGGAGAGACCGTGAGACTCCTATCTCCAATAAACCACCAGAAAACCGGAAGTGGCGCTGTAGCTCAAGTGGTAGAGCGCTCGCCTTGAGCTGAAGAGCTGAGGGACAGCGCCCAGGCCCAGAGTTCAAGCCCCACGACCGACCAAAAAAAAAGAAAAAAGAAATTGCAACATGGTGTGGTGAGGAGTTTTTGTTTTTTTAGCCCAAGATCCGTTTGGCTAGCTGGCATGGGGGGCACATGCCTAGAGTCCCAGCTACTCTGCAGGTTGGGGCAGAAGGACCACTTGAGCCCAGGAGTTCCAGGTCAGCCTCAGAAATGTATCAAGTCTTAGTCTCAATGACAAAAACTGCGTCTCAGAGGCAGAGGGGTTGAGGCAGGACTCCACCCATGGTTTGCCTGACTCAAAGCGCCACGGTCCTCCTTTGAAAGTTGCATCTTGTTCGAGGCTGGGGAGGGAGAAAGGGGTGGTGGAGGCCTCCAGGGCCTGCTGAGGAATTGGATTGAACTTGGTGTCTGTCCCCTTCAGTCCCAGCCAACTGCCTCTCAAACCACAGCTTCCCAGGGGCTGCTGCTCAGACTGGGGGCTTCTGGGTAAATGTCACAGATCTTCTCTCCCCCAGATCTGAGGATAGAAACACAGGCCTCCAGAGAGTTGGTGACATGTGTGTGTGCCAGCCGATCCCTGGAGCCCCCACACCTGCCACTTAGTTTGTCTCCTCTGCCAGCTGCATTGGGGTAGCATCCTCATTTTACAGATGATGAATGGAAAAGTTAGAGAGGTGCAGTCTCTCAGCCCAGGTCACAAAGCAGAAACTGACCTCTGTCTTACACAGTGTAACTTCCCTTCATGGAAATCCTCCTGCTCCTGAGGCTTTAGCAAGGGGGACGGTTTGGGTAGGAAATGGAGAGTGTTCGTTTGATTCGACTTTCAGAAGACTTGGGCAAGATATTTGGGACAGATCTCTTTTTTTCTTCCTGAAAGCCACTTGTGTTCAAACCTGGGGCCTTGTGCAGTCTCTGTTCAGAACCAAATCAGGTGTATTGTTCCGGAAGGGCAGGGCTGAAGCTTGCTTCTCTGTCCTTGGACCGCAAGACCCAGACCCCCCCCCCCCCCTTACTTTTGACCACAGGGATCTGTTGACTACATGGTCACAGGTAATGGCTGCTTTGTTGATATCCCAAACTTGTCTCAGGTTTGGACAGCTGCCACCCGGGGCCACAGCTGTCCCTGAATGCCTGCACAACTCCCAGGTCCCATGACCACCAGGAAGCTCGAGGGGAGACAGACAGCAAGCAAGCCAGCCAGTGCCCAGGGCAAATTCCTCCCAAAGCCACAGTGCACCACCCCAGCCCTGAGTTCCCCCTCTTCCGCATCAAGCACCTGGCAGCCGGAGGAGGGCAGGGGAGGACTGGGGAGGCAGGAACTGGTTTAAAAGCAGAGAAGCTCTGCCCACTCCTTCCCTACTCCGGATTTCAGTTTCCTCCTCCTTAGGAGAGCCTGAGGACAGGGCCCTGCCTCTGCCTTATTCATCCAAGGCTCCAGAAAAAGCTCTGATGTGGGTTTCTGGTCTGGTGAAGGGCTGGTTGAGGGGAACTGGATCCCAATTCTTCCCAAGACCCTGAACTGGATCCCAGGTTCCTGTAGCTCACACCTGTAATCCTAGCTACTGGGGAGTCTGAGATCTGAAGGATCAAAGTTCAAAGCCAGTCCGGGAAGGGAAAGTCCATGAGACATTTATTTCCAATTAACCACCAAAAAACCAGAAGTAGAGCTGTGACTCAAGTGGTAGAGTGCCTAGCAGCCTTGATTTAAAAAAAAAGCGACCGAAGGGTGGCCAGGTCCAGTACTGGCACAAAAATAAATAAATAACTAAAATTTAAAAACCCTCAATCAAGGTCTTGGGGAGCTGTGTTTGTGGAGAGCCTCCCTATGTGTGATGCCTTCCTGGGCTGAAATCCTTGTGACTCTTCTGGCATGCTGCACTCAGGGGAATGACCTCAATGACCTTTTGGGGTTCTATTGGTCTCCAAGCCAGAGGACTCAGTATTTGTGTGGATGACGCCTTGGGGATGGGGGGGGAGGCAGCGGGGGTGGGTAAGGGACTGTCATCCAGGAGCAGTGACTCAGGCCCTCAGCACCATGACAGCGTGTCTGCATTTAGCCACTGGCTCCTGATTCCCTCGTGGGCAGATGGCTCCAGATGCCCCCACGCCTGGCCCCACCACTTTCCATCTTACCTCTGGGCTGATGACTCCCCCCAGCCCTGCCAGCACACCCCTGGGGCATGGCAGATGACACAGACCTAGGCTCAAGCAAGTACTCCACTCTCCAGCCACCACCCTAGCCCTCAGCCCACCCTATGGCTTGTCCTGCCCCCCACTACACCGTATGGGGAGCCCTCTGCCCAGAGATGCAGCTCCAGGCTGGCCTCCGCAAAAGCAAGAAGGAAGACACAGACCCCATCTTTAGGAGCCCCAGTCTAATGGGGAGAAAGGTGACTCCTTGTTCTAGGGAACTCCCAGTTGGATAGGGAAAGGAGACACCACAGAGAAATCTCAGAACACAGGAATCACTGTCAGCCAGAGCTTCCGGTTCTCCACAGGCCCTGAGTGGACAGGAGTAACCAGAGGCCTCCGTGTAGCAATGGGAGCTTGCTGTTCTGAGGGCAGGAAGAGAGAGGCATCACCCCACATTGCCACCAGCACAAACTAATAGCCAGCCTACCTCCTCAAACGGCCTTCCCCCATCTTCTGACCCACCCTGATGAAGTGTGACATCCAACATGGCTCTGATGAGTAGAGTAGTGGGTAGAGAGGGACTTCTTAGGGTCAACTTGGCTGAGCTGTCTCTACATGTACGTTAAAAAAATAAATAAATAAAAGTAAGGCTGGGTGCCCATAGCTCACGCCTGTAATCCTAGCTACTCAGGAGGCTGAGATCTGAGGATCTCGATTCAAAGCCAGCCCGGCAGGAATGTCTGTGAGACTCATCTTCAATTAACCACCAGTAAACCAGAAGTGGCACTGTGGCTCAAGTGGCAGAGTGCTCGCCTTGAACTGAACTGCTGAGAAACAGTGCCCAAGCCCAGAGTTCAGGCCCACAACTGACAAAAAGAAAAAAAAAAAAGATAAGAAAAAGAAAAGTAAAAAAGGAGCTGTGTGACAGTGGCTCACACCTGTAATCCTAGTTACTCAGGAAGCTGAGATCTGAAGAGTGTGGTTTAAAGTCATCTTGGGCAGGAAAGTCTGTGAGACTCTTATCTCCAATTACCCAGCAAAAAGCTGGAAGTGAGCCGGGCGCTGGTGGCTCACGCCTGTAATCCTAGCTACTCAGGAGGCTGAGATCTGAGGATCGCGGTTCAAAGCCAGCCCGGGCAGGAGAGACCGTGAGACTCCTATCTCCAATAAACCATCGGAAAACCGGAAGTGGCGCTGTAGCTCAAGTGGTAGAGCGCTCGCCTTGAGCTGAAGAGCTGAGGGACAGCGCCCAGGCCCAGAGTTCAAGTCCCACGACCGACAAAAAAAAAAAAAAAAAGCTGGAAGTGAAGTTGTGACCCAAGTGGTAAGGTGCTAGTCCTCAGCTACAAAGCTCAGGGACAGCACTCAGGCCCTGAGTGCAAGCCCCAGAACCAGCACACACCCCTAAAATAAATAAATTAAAAATGGGTATTGGACTATGGTAGTACATGATTATAATCCCAGCTGCATGGAGATAGAGCAGGTGGATCATAAGTTCTAGGCCAGCCTGGGGAAAATTTGGCTAGTGAGACCAACTCAAACATAAAAGACACCATCTTCCCCATCCCATCCCTACCCACAAGTTATGTTTTTAGTTTTTTATATAATGTGCATTAAATATAATGACTATTTGCTCACACTTCCTCCCTCCTTTCATGTGTCCCTCCTCTCTTTGTCCAATTCCCCCAGGTACATCTTTTTAAAATAAAAATATTAAATATACTCAGGCAAAAGAAAATACAGACAAAAAAAAGCTAAGGACATGGTTCAGGCAGTAAATTACTTGTTTAGAATGATCAAGGTTCTGAGTTCAACTCCAATACTGTTAAGTTAAAAAAAAAAAAAAACTAGGGGACTGGGAAGGTGGCTTAGTGGTAGAGTGCTTGCCTAGCATGCATGAAGCCCTGGGCTCAATTCCTCAGGACCACAAAAAAAGCTGGAAGTGGTGCTGTGGCTCAAGTGGTAGAGTGCTAGCCTTGAGCAAAAAATGCAGCTCAAGGGTAGTGCCCAGTCCTGAGTTCAAGCCCCAGGACTGGCAAAAAAAAAAGGCTTTGGGTCAGACACATCTGGGTTCAAACCCCAGCTCTGCCTCTTGCACAGGTCCTACCCCTCCCTTCCTGTGAGGTTAGCTTTTTCCAGTCTATAAAATGGGCTTCATACCTCCTTCCTGTGAACTGTACGGGAATCAGAAGGTGGGGTGCTGGAAAGCTTGATATAGGGAGCCAGTGCCCAGAGGTACCCCAGAAATCAGAGCTCGTACAATGCCTGTCTCTTTATAATTCCCCAACCAAAGTCCAGGGCCGGCTGGCAGCTCCTGGGAGCTTAAAGTCAAGCATACTGTGACTGGGAACAAAACCCCCCTCCTAAATCTTTAAAGACAATCTCCAACTAATCTGCCCCCTCTTCTGAGTCTGGGCCTAGCTCCCACCCCCACCCCACCAGCAAGGAGGGGGCACAGATCCTGGAGAATCAGAATCCCTAGAGAGCCCCCAGGCTGGTGGGTGAAACATGGATACATAAAAGTCCTCACAGAGGACCCTGAGTGGCCAGGTGACAGATTCACCCCCTACCCTGTGGTGTGCGGAGGCCCTTGGGGCTGGAATGTCAGGAGTGAGCTCAGCCCTCCGGCTCGGCCTGCCTTGTGTCTGACTATCAGCAACGCCACTTCTCCGGAGAAGATTTCCAGCCCCCTCTGGGCCATGAAGAGGCCTAAATTTAGCTAGGAGACAAGAGGCTGGCCCCAAGCCCAGCGCCTGGCGGGCCTTATAAAGCGCTGGCAGCTAGGGCCCGGCACGCTACCCTGCGGACTGTACCTACACATTTCTTCTCTCCAGTCCCTGCCCGCCTAGCCAGGGCCCCCACACTGCCTGTGAATGAGCCACCGGACCTCCTCCTCCTTCCGAGCGGAGCGAAGCTTCCATTCCTCCTCCTCTTCCTCCTCTTCCTCGTCCTCTTCAGCCTCCAGAGCCCTCCCAGCCCAGGACCCACCCATGGAGAAGGCTTTAAGCTTGTTCTCCGAGGACTTCGGCAGTTTCATACGGCCCCACTCGGAGCCCTTGGCCTTCCCAGGCAAGTGCTGGGGCTCTGGGGGGAGGGGAGAGGCACAGGTGGGGATCTCTATTCCAGGGCACTCCTCTGCTGCCCCCCTCCCCCCGCAAAGGCTGCAACTGTCCACTTGCCAGCAAGAGGTGTTGCATAGCCTGCCACGGGGCCACCCAGAGGTAGCCAAGAAACAGCCCAGAGAGCTGGCAAGGACTGAGGGGTAGAGACGCCCCCCAGCCTGCAGGCCCTGGTGGGGTTGCTGCAGAGTGAGCATAACCCTAGCAGACACAAAATCTGTGCCAACGTCAAGAGGGGCTCCGGAGGGCAGCTGAGGGCAGGTGACCTGGGGGCCAGACTCATTTCCAAGCGTGGGTCAGACAGCTGGGCTCTGGCTGCATTCCCTGCCTGGTGCCTGGCTCACGGTGCCCTCTCTGCAGCCCGTCCTGGGGGGCCGGGCAACATCAAGACCCTGGGAGACGCCTATGAGTTTGCAGTGGACGTGAGAGACTTCTCTCCCGAGGACATCATCGTCACCACCTCCAATAACCACATTGAGGTGCGGGCCGAGAAGGTGAGCATGGTGCCACCCACCCCTGGAACCTGACTCCCAGCCTGGACATCTTCCTAATCCAGCCCCTTGCCCTGGACCTCCTGTCTTCCCAGGGTCCCTTCTCTATTTGAGGTCCCCCAGGTCAAACTGAAGGCCTTGGCCCCTGGATAATCAGGGGCTCCCCCATAGGCCCCTCTCTACCCACCAAGTTTCCAGATTTCATTTACTGAGGGGGCCTTAGGTAGCTGAGGGTGGAGGGGCTGGGGGGAACACGGGCAGAGGGGACTGAACCATGAGAGTGGAAGATGAGGGATGTGGCCATGTTGGACTGAGGAGTAGGGGAGGGAGGAAAAGGGGGGGTGCTCGCCTTGGGGGACAGTCCCTCATACCGCACCTCCAGTCCTCTTCATCCCAAAGCTAAAGGCCCAGACTCTGTAGAGCCCCTTTCCCCACACTCCCATTGGACCCTTTACCTAGGCCTAAGCTCTAAGTCTGAGTCCCATCCTCCCACCCCCTCCACCAAGACCCCGAGGCCTCTGTCCTGGAGGAAGGCGTGGCTGTGTGACAGAGAAGCCACCTGTGTCTTAGGGGAGATCTGCCAAAGCCTCTTGGGTCCCCAGGGCCCAGCTTCCTACCCTGCACTCCCCAGAAACCCTGCCAGGGGCGCCGGGACCGGGACTGGTGGTGGCACGTGCCAGCCTTGCCACCCTAGAGTGACTCAGCCAGCCAGACTGCAGCTGGACACTATGTGCTGGCTGAGCTGTGGGGAGGGAAGAGGCCCTGGTGGCGGCAGAGTCTGGGAATCCAGGCAGGCAAACTGGCGTCACCCCCCACCCCCCGCCTACCACTGCTCAAACAACCCCAGCTTCCTGGCCTCTGCTTCACAGCACAGAGTCCCCTGACCCCGAGACCTCGGGAGGTCCTCCCAGCACCTCCACAGCTCCCACATAGGCCTTGGCCCCTGGCTACCCCTAGCCCCTCTGCACTGGGCCATGGACCCCTCTCTGGAATCAGGATGGGAGGCTGTGGGTTTCCCAGGCAGCCTGCCCTGACCCCGCACCCCTTCCCCCAGCTGGCGGCTGATGGCACAGTCATGAACACCTTCGCTCACAAGTGCCAGTTGCCGGAGGATGTGGACCCCACCTCGGTGACCTCAGCCCTGCGGGAGGACGGGAGCCTCACCATCCGGGCCCGGCGGCACCCCCACACCGAGCACGTCCAGCAGGTCTTCCGGACAGAGATCAAAATCTGAGGGCCTCCCCTGCCCTGCCCTCCCTCCACCCCGCCTCCTCCACAACTGGACTGCCAGCCACAGCTCCCGAACCCCTACACGACGGCCCCCCAGGACATCTCAGCTCAGGCTCCAGCCCCTTACACCCCAGGCCCCAGGTGGGCCTGTCCCCCCCCCCAACTAGCACAGCCTATGGATCCCCTTGGCTCCCTCACGACCCCCAGATATGGTCTCTGACAATTCAGATCCGAGGGGTTGGGGTGGAGGCAGAGAGGTTCCCAAAGAAGGGGGAGAAAAGGATGGTGGGGAGGGGGATGTGGCTGGGGAGAGGATCTGCAGGACAGACAGACAAATCCTATCTGTGGGGTCTCTGCAGGCCAGGGGCAAGGGGCACCGAGAACCAGGGACCCTAGGCTCAGTGGAGTGGGAGAGGCCAAAAGGGGAGGTGGCCTCACCAGAGGGCCCAGGAAGGCAGGAAGGAGGCAGACATCACAGCAATCTCCCTCTGCCACTCTCTAAGCCCCAAACCAGCTGGCAGGCTGCCCACCACTCCATGCCCGGGCCAGCCAGCTGTGCCGGGACAGGGCTCGTGGTACCTGTACCCTAGATGGGGTTTTATGGTGTGAAACTGCTGCCTTCCTCTTCCTCTACCTGCCAGTGCCTGCGAGTGAGGCCAGGGGAAAGGGCTGTCCCTCCTCTACCAGCACAGCCTGTACCCCTGGGGCTGCTCCCTCTGCAGACAGGATCCCCGCCACCCCCCCCAAGTGGAACCAAGATATGCACAGCACTTTGGGGAACTCCAGGTTGGAGCCCAGCTTCTTGCAACATTCTCTGGGCAGTTTCTGTCTGTCCTCACTTCTTCACCTATGAATCCTATGTACACACACACACACACACACACACACACACACACACACGCACGCACACACATGCACACACACACACCCCTCCAAATACTCAACATTACCATTGGATGAAACCAAATTCAGAACATTCTAGAATCAGATTTAATGTCTCCCTTCTCCTCACTAGGACACTGAGTTTCTGAGCCATCCCACGCCCGGCTTTGCCCTGAGGGTCGGTTCTGAACCCCACCAGTCTTAGCTGTCACAGTGCCCCCCTCCACCCTGGATGCTCCCCTCCTTCTTCCCTCCTGGGGCCATGCACCTGCCCATGCCACCCACCCCTACTGGGGAGGAGAGCTCAACCCCAGCCTCCTTCTGGCCCATCAGCCTTAAATCTGGGGGGCCCCAACGGCCCCCAATGACTCTGGCTTGTTCTCCAGAGGGAGGCAGCAGGGCTCACAGCCCAGGGTCCTCAGGATAAATAGCTGAGCCGGCATCTGTGCCCTGGGGCTGGTTGCTGTAGGGTGGCCCGACTCCTGAGCCTGGGAGCTGGGGGTGGGGGCAGGTGGGTGCCATGGGAGGTTGGGCTCTATAATTGTACCCCCAATAAAGGACTATATCGCAGACCTGAAGCACACGCCAGCCTGCCATTCTCGTGCCTGGGATAGAGCTGGGGAACAGGGTAGACTGGCGTGAAAACTGAGGCCTAGTAATATGGGTGTCCTTTGGCCTCCAATGGCTCTGGGAACCCACCTGCTCTGCAAGTGCTCCAGCACCTTCCAGAGAACCCTACCCGCTTTGGTCCTTTCCTCTGTGTGTGTGTGGGGGGGTGCATGTGCATATGCCTCTGTGTGTGTGTGTATGCACACGCGTGTGTGCACGTGTGCATATGCCACCACTGGGGCTTGAACTCAGGGCCAGAGTGCTGGCCCTTAGCTTTTTCACTCAAGGCTAGTGCTCTACCACTTGCGCCACTGCTCCACTTCCAGCTTTTTGGTGTTTAATTGGAGCTGTGTCTCAGGACTTTCCTCCCTGGCTGGCTTCACACTGTGATCCTCAGATCTCAGCCTCCTGAGTAGCCAGGCGTTTTTTTTTTTGTTTTGCTTTGTTTTTGTTCTGCAGTACAGGGTGTGGAACCCAGAGCCTCGCTAGGCAAGTGCTCCACCACTGAGCTTCATCCCAGCTCCTCAAATCCCTTCTTGAAGCCTTTCTGCTAGCATGGGGGCTCTAAGGTCCAGAGAGGCCCAGTAATTGGCTCAAAATCATACAGCTCCAGGCTCAGCCAGCTGGATCCAGGGTGTAGGAGCAGGGGCAAGGTGGAGTGCTGGCTGGCTCAGGAAAGTTGGAGGGCTTTCTAACTGACCCCCTCAGCCTCAGGCACTTGAAATCAGAGTGCCAGGCATTTCCCCCAGTGAAGCGCGGCGCAGAGGGGTGCGGTCAGAGAGGTGGAGGGGAGGGCAGGGGTGCAGTATTTCCAGCCTGGGTGACTCACTCATTCCACTGGGCTATTTGCAGCCCCAACACTCATTCTGCGTGCTGAGCTTGGGAGGAGGAGTCAGAGTAGCCCCCCCCAAGGTCAGGTTCACCTTGGCAGCCAGACCCCAGCAAAACCATTCCCAGGATGGGGGGGGGGGCAGTGGGAGGGGCTTAGCCCAGCAGCCTCCCCTAGGTAGAGGTGGGACAAGCTAGCAGCCCAGGGACTGAGGTTTGTCCCGTGTAATGGAGTCTCTAGCTGCCTCTCCAGCCAAGGTGACCTGGTGCACCGGGCGGGGGGGGGGGGGGATGGGGGGGATGGGGTGTGTCTGTGGGGGGGAGAGCCACTGGGGCTCCATTGGCTTCGCCACCCTCCCCCCTGCTTTGTCTCAGGGTGCCCCGCCCCTTTCCAGACTAAATATAAGGCCGACTCCAGGCCTTGTGCCCACCCCCACTCATGAGAAGTAATTATAGCAACCCCATTCATTGAACTTCTAGTAGCAGCCAGGCACATGGCTCTCTCCCGCCATCCTGCCAGGTCAACACACGCTGTGGTTTTCAAAGATGATAAAGGGGTTCAGAGAGGTCAAGCAACTGGCCCAAGGTCACCCAGCTTGGGATCTGAGTCCTGGTCGGTGGCTTTATAAAGCCCTCTGCTGGGTCAGCCCAGACCAAACCACCTTCCCCAGGGTGCCATGGGACCCTCCTCTCCCCCCCCCCTGCACTCTCCTCTCCCTCTTGCACCGGTCCCTGCCCCTGCCCCAGCTCCCTCAAAGTCATGTTGAGTGGGGAGGGATCTTAGGCCAGCCCTGAATGTGGAAAAGATCAGGGTATGTGGTACCTGACACCCAGGAGGGAAGAGAGAACCCTGGAGGTTCTAGGCTCAGGTTCTAGGTTCAGATTTTAGGTTCTAGGTTCAGCCTAGTGGAGTATGTGGTAGTGCTGCCTAGCATGCATGAAGCCCTGGGTTCCAGTCCTCAGTACCACCTAAACAGAAAAAACCAGAAGTGGCGCTGCAGCTTAAGTGGTAGAGCTTTATAGCCTTGCGCAAAAGAAGCCTAAGGACAGTGCCCAGGCACTGAGTTCAAGCCCCAGGACTAGTAAAAAGAGAGAGAGAGAGAGAGAGAGAGAAAGAATGTTTGAAATCAGGTCTACCTTCCTCCCTGTCCCATAAAACTAAACAAAGAAAGGCACTGAGTCTGAGTCTTCTCCAGCAAACCCTCCCAAGCAGCCAGCCATGTCGGAGCACAAGGCCTCCTGCCTGAGGTGTGCAGCCTCCCTTCCCACACCTTGCCAGTCCCCAGTCTTCAAAAAGAAGTTGAGGCAATGAGCAGCAGCACACGGGCCAGCAGCATCAAGGCCTGTCCACTTCTTCAGCCAGCCCCACCTCTCAGGGAAGCCTCAGGCCCAAGGAGTGGTAGGACATGGCTCAGGGACACACTGCAAGTGAGTGGCAGAGCTTAAATGAAGGTATGACCTCCCTCGCTTAGTCCAACCCTCCCCATCCACCTTGGTCCCCCGTACCCCTCCCGCCTGTTCCCCAGGCTGACAGAAATACTAGTTCTGCATTCTGCCCCATGTCTTTCTTATTCCCTTCTTGCTTGAAAGTCTTGGCATGCAAACAGAGGAGGGTCAGTCATAGAATGGAATCAGACCTCCTGGGCATCAGATCTTGACTGCTGTGAAAGTAACTCAACCTCTCTGTGTCTCAGGAAGGATCTGTAATAGGGTGTACCTGCTAGAGCTGCTTTGTCTGCTGGGGGAGCTGAGGCATACGCAGTACCTGGCACACAACAGCGGACAGTGGTTCCCAGGTGCCCTGCACTGGCAATGCGCAGGAGGCTTGACTGCTGGGAGGTTTCATTAGGATCTGGACTGGAGGATGCTGGTCCCTCCAAGGATAGATGGGTGGGGTGGGGCTTAAATGTGGCCCCACCCCCTCTCAGAAGATGCAGACTGGGTCCTGGGGAAAGGCTAGATGCCCAGAGAGGCCATGATTTAGGCTCTGTGTGTGTGTGTGTGTGTGTGTGTGTGTGTGTGTGTGTGTGTGCATGCATGCATGCATGCACGCACTAGCCCTGGGGCTTGAATTTAGGTCTTGGGTATGGTCCCTGAGCTTTTTGGCTCCAGGCTCACACTCTACCACTTGAGTCACACCTCCACTTTTGGCTTTTTGATGGTTCACTGGAGATAAGGGTCTCACAAACTTTTCTGTCTGGGTTGGCTTTGAACCATGATCCTCAGATCTCAGCCGCCTGAGTAACTAGGATTACAGGCGTGAGCCACCAGTGCCTGGCTCCATCTTACTGTTCCTTCCTGCACAATTCTTTCCTTTCTTTCTCCCTCTCTCTTTCTTTTTTTTGGGGGGGATCCAGTTGTGGGGCCTGAACTCTGGGCCTGGGCGCTGTCCCTCAGCTCTTCAGCTCAAGGCTAGTGCTCTACCACTTGAGCCACAGCGCCACTTCCGGCTTTTTTCTTTTTGCTTATGTGGTGCTGAGGAATCGAACCTAGGGCCTCATGCATGCAAGGCAAGCACTCTACCACTGAGCCACTTTCCCAGCCCTCTATCTTTTTTTTCTCTCTCTCTTTACCTTGCTGTGTCAGACGTCGAGCCCAGGGCCTGGTGCCTGCTAAGCACACTGTCCCTCGGAGCTCTAGCCCCAGCCTCCCACACAGCACCTAGCCATGCACGGGGTTCCAGGAGCTATGGCACAGGGGCAGAGTTGAGTGAGCCCAACTGCCAGTGTATTCACACTTCCTCTTGCAGGTTCAATCGAGTCCATATAGGTGGGGTCACTCCCTCGGTGTGATTGGTTGTGGGGGGTCAGAATGATCCAGTCCTGGGGTCCAGAGAGTCACAAAGTACGAGTCTGTCAGAGAAGGAAGACTCACAG